ACACCAGTAATTCAAGCATTTTGGGAGGCTGAGGCAGGAGGATAGCTTGAGGCCAGGAGTTTGAGACCAGCCTAGGCAACATAACAAGACCCCATCTCCACAAAAAAATTAAAAATTAGCTGAGCATAGTGGCATGCACCTGTAGTCCCAGTTATTTTGGAGAATGAGGCAGGAGGATCACTTGAGCCCAGGAGGTTGAGGCCACAGTGAGCCTTGATCACACCACTGCACTCCAGTCTGGGCGACCTTGTCTCAAATAAATAAATTAATAAAAGATCTTGTCTTTTAAAGATTCTTTCTAGAATATTTACAGGTGAAGTGACATAATGTCTGAAGTTTGTTGAAAAATAAAGTGCATTTAATAAAATGTGGTGTATCTACACAATGGAATACTATTCAACAGTGAAAAGGAGTGGAGTGCTGATACATGTTACAACATGGATGAACCTCAAAAGCATTATGCTAGGTGGAAAAGTCCAGACATAAAGGATAGTCCATAGAAATGCTAGAAGTGGCAAATCTACAGGCACAGAGCACAGATCCATGATTGGCTGGAGAAGGGGGTGGGATCAGGGATTAACTTTAAACCAGCATGAGGGATCTTTCTGTAGTGATGAAACTATTGTAAAACCAAACTGTGGCGATAGTTGCATAACTCCTTAAATCTACTAAAAACTATTGACTCATGCACTTACAATGAGTGAATTTTATGGTATAAAAATTATATTTCAATAAAACCATTAAAAGACAAGTGGAGTGTGTGGGGTAAAGGATGTCCATGCAACAATTGTCATGAGTTGAATCTGGGGGAGGGGTGCTTGGAGGCTGATTAAATTATTCCAAGTCTACTTTGAAAGTCTCCATAATTATGGCTGGGCATGGTGGCTCACATCTGTAATTCCAGCACTTTGGGAGGCTGAGGCAGGTGGAGTACCTGAGGTCAGGAGTTCGAGACCAGCCTGACCAATATGGTGAAACCCCATCTCTACTAAAAATACAAAAATTAGTCAGGCTGTGGTGGTGAGCATCTGTAATCCCAGTTACTCAGGAGGCTGAAGTGGGAGAATTGCTTGAACCCTGGAGGCGGAGCTTGCAGTGAGCCAAGATCGCACCACTGCACTCCAGCCTGGGTGACAGAGGGAGACCCTGTCCCAAAAAAAAAAAGAAAGAAGAAAAAAAAAAAGAGAAAGTCTCCACAGTTAAAATAAATAAAGTAAAACAACACATATTTGACTCATGGCACCGCCTGTCACCGCTCATCAGCCATCCGACAAATACCTGTGGAATAACGAGAGAACACAAGAGGCCAAGGACAGCCAGGAGCTTGCTCTCTCGCCTCCTCTTCCTGGCGCCCTGCCCTGCTCCTTGAAGGCCATCATCCCTGCATCATGCCAAAGTTCCAAACACAAGAAGTCTAAGTCCTCTTGACTGCCTAGCACTTTCCAATTTGCAAAGTCCTTGCAGGTCCGTGGTGCGCCGGGAGTCCTGGGATGTGGACAGATGCAGAACTAGAGTGCAGAGAGGGGAGCCCTGCTGCCTACCCCGTTTGCAGCACTGGTCCCCTATCCAGAAGCAGAGTTAGAGTTGGAGGGGACTTCACTGCCACCCCTGAAGGTACAGCTCAGACACTCCTCCGTGAAGGGCCCTGGCCACACACCCACAATCCTCCTCCAGCTGGGGAAAGAGCGCTGAATCTGCAAGGAGGAATGCCCTGCATTCTTTAAACCTGGATGTACAAAACTGCACCTGGTGAAGTGTATGTTAAGGAGTAGTTCTGCCTTGATTACAATAGATCTGACGGGCTGGCAGGGGACCTGGAGACCTGGCTCTGCCCTGGACTCCCATGCAACTGGGGCCAGACCCTCCACTTGCCAGGTCTCAGTGACTCCATCTGTCATGAGGGAGATGGACCAAATCCATTGGGGCCCTTCTGGCTCACTAAAGTCTGTGCTCACCAAGATGGGGTCCTCACTCTGTGGAATGGGGTTCTCCTTGATATGGCCCCAGGAAGGGCTTAGTTTCCCTCTGTGGGATGGTGAAGATGTTGCCCGTTTGACCCCAGGTCCCCAAATCCAGAGGCCTGACAGCCACCAGGGGAGGCAGCGTGGCTGAGGAATTCCACCAGGCCTGGGGCCAGGAGGACAGACTTCAAGCCTGACACGGCCAACTCTGTGCTGTGTGAAACTAGGCCGGGCACCTCTCACTCTTGGCACCTTTTCTCATTTGTAAGGGGGATAAGTGACCTACCTCACAAGTTGTGAGGAAACCCAGAGGGGAGATCGGAATAAAACCCTGGAGGGCAGGCCTTTTGCGTTTCAGTTTTTGAGTCCCCAGTGCCAGACTCATAAATAAATACTTAGAAAATGTCTACTGAAAACACAGCAGGACAAATCCTTGCAGTGGCAGAAATAATCTGTATCTTGACTCAATGTCTGTAATTGTCAATTTATTGTACTATAGTTTTATAAGATGTTACTGCGGAGGGAAACTCAGTAAAGGGTGTATAGGAGCCCTCTGCGGTATTTCTTACAACTGCATATGAATCCACAATTATCTCAAAATAAAATGTTTAATTGAATGATGCTTGCAAAAGTACTCCACAATCTACAAAGTGCTACCATTAATATTAACTAGGGGGAAGGACTACAAAGGATGTTGAAGGGCCTGCCTCTTCCAGGAAGCCCTCACTGATTTCCCCTTCTCTGTGTTCCTAAAACAGCTGAGTGTGCTTCTTTCTGCCACAGCACTTATTATTCTGCGTTATACATTTAACTGTTTAGGGACGTCATCCCCCAGCTAGAGTGTGAGCTTCATAAGGATGAGACTGTGTCTCCCTCATCTTTGTGGCAGCAGCTTCTGGCCCAGTGCCCAGCTCTGAACAGATGTGACATAAATGCCTGTGGAACCAAATGAACTGGGACAGGTACCATGACCTGGCTCTTCCAACAGTGCCAGAGGTGCTTCCCAGGGTCACTGAGAGGATGAGTGATGTCAAGGTGCTTTTATTCATCAGAGGTTGCCACGGACATGGGGCAAACACGCTCTTTAGTCATTTGTTTCTTCAGAACTGTGCTCGTGGCCTGGGTCAAAATGGTTTGCAGCAGGCCAGGCATGGTGGTTCACACCTGTAATCCCAGACCTTTGGGAGGCCGAGGTGGGCAGATCACCTGAGGTTGTGAGTTTGAGACCAGCCTGACCAATATGGAGAAACTCCATGTCTACTAAAAACACAAAATTAGCCAGACGTGGTGGCACATGCCTATAATCCCAGCTACTTGGGAGGCTGAGGCAGGAGAATCGTTTGAACCCGGGAGGCGGAGGTTGTGGTGAGCGGAGATTGCGCCATTGCACTCCAGCCTGGGCAAGAAGAGCGAAACTCCATGTCCAAAAAAAAGAAAAAGAAAAAAATAAAAAAAGATTTGCAGCAGAATTGAGGGGCTTCCAAGAAGAGACCTATAAAGGTTCAGTGACTCATCTCCCCCTGTTCTGTTTACAGCCTTCCAGGCACCCCTGAGGCACACACCCAGACAAGTTTCCAAGTGGTGGTGGGTACCAGCAGGGGAAGTCCAGGGAGGCCACCAAAGTCAGACATTGTAACTTCTGTCTGAGAGCAACTTTTCAGCAATGACTAATCAGAAGGCCCTTTTCTTCCCCTGTCCTCTTACAGAATTTTAGTAAGCCCCAAATCTCAGGGCCTAATGGAACTCAGGAGTGCTGTAGGCTTATCTTTACCTGGCACTTGAAATCCACCAAATGGGTATCTCCAGTGATGGGAACTCACTACTTTCCGAGGCAGCCACACAACTCCGGTGTAAGAAGGTGCTAAATGTTGGTCTCCCTACATTGGTCCTGGGTGTGCTCGCTGGAACTCCAGTTCCAACAAAGGTCCTGCAGGTGCCAGTGCCCTCCCTGCCTGGATCCAGCCCGGGGCCCCAGGGCCTCCACTCCTCCACCGGACATGCTGTCAGACTGGGGTGTATGACGCTTGCTTCTGCTTTCCTGGTAGCCTAAAACCTGACTGATTCATACTGTTCTCACAGTCAAGTCAGGGCTCACTCTAAGTTCATTAGAAATGGAAAGTGATTAGGTATTTTCTCCTTCCCTTAACCAGTGTGCTATTTGCAAGCTCACAGGTCTTCCCAAATACGTGGACAGAAAGGTTATCCTGACAAGGCTTAGAGCACAAAGCTCCACTTCTGGAGAATGAGAACTGGGACCCAGTGGCCCAGGACCCAGTAGTCAAAGCCTCCTAAACAGGAAGATCCCAGTAGCGTTGACTCCTGTGGGGAAGGGGGATGGGGACTTCCTGTCTGGGGAACCTCTGCACCTGCCACAGCTCTGCCTGGCTGGGTCATGAGCAGCTCCAGAGCCTGATGTGGACAAAGGGAAGGAAAGTTCCAGGGACAAAGCTCCATCTCCAGGTGGCCAAGTTCCACAGGCTTCTTCCAGGCAGTCCATGATGGGGCCCAGCTGCCCTTCCCACTACATGGCTAGTAATGGGAAGGGAGGCCATTACCTCCAAGGGAGTACAGGACTCTTGGCCACAAAGCAGCCTGAATGAGGGGTACAAAGGGAGGATCCCCATCTTCAAGTACCTGGAATGGGAGGAGAGGGAGCACCCCAAGATCCTCATAGTTCACATTCTTTGGCATGACTTTCCAGTTACAAGGAAGACAGAGGTTATGTTGGGGCATAAAGAAATGAAAAGAGAAAACTTCCCTCTGCACGGCCAGATCAATAGGGTGGCAGGGTGGGGACAGGGAGGTGAGCCTGAATGCCCCTCCCCATCACCACCACCTCTGGCCATGTGGGAACCTGCATGCACACACACACAAGCACACACGCACACACACATGCACACACGTGCACACACACACTCCTCAGGCCAAAGGCCACCTCTCTGCCCTTCCACTCTCTGTCAGAAGGAACTTCCTAACACATGATGCTCTGCAAAGCCATGCCCAGCCAGCCTCAGGAGGGAGCGCCCTCTTGGTCACCAAGTATTCCTAGAGTCAAGCAGAAACTGTGCAAAGGAACTACCAGAAAGGGAAGGCTGCGAAGGCCAGGCCTCTCATGGTGAATTCAGACTCCCTGATTTGCCATTCAGAAGACTCTACCAGCTCTCCCTAGACCCTCACGCACCTTTACTAAGAGGCTGAATAACTTGCATTGACTGGATGCTTACTGTGTACTGGGTACTGTTCTAGGTGTTATAATGTATTATTAATAATTCATTTAATCCTTGCAACAACCCTACAGGGTATTACTACCCTCCCTTTACAGATGATGAAAATGAGACACAGGGTGCCAAAATAATGTGTCCAATTCACCCCCCAGCAGTGCGACTCCAAAGTCCAAGCTCTGAAACACCACTCTAAACCCCCTCTGCCACTGTTACTAATCCCGTCAAGTTGCAGATGGGAACACCGAGGTTGAGAGAAGTTGAGTAAGTTGTAGAGCGGGGGTTTAAACTCAGTTTCTGTCTGACTCCAAAGCCTGCATTCTTTACGCTGATTGTAAACTGCTCCAGGACGCGCCGGAGCCCCGACGGGGACACCACCTGCTAGGCCAGGCTCATCTTCCTGTGTTTGATGACCTCTTTAGACAACCCACCTGACTCTGCACATTTGACATGGCCATGTTTTCCCTGCCGGGCGCCCTCTCCCTTTCTCTCCTCCAGTTCTTGTCTATCTGCCCCTTCAAATCCTGGCTGAAGAATGACCTCCTACAGAAAAGGTTTCCAGATAGGTTTAGCCGCAGGTTAGGTTAACTTTATCCTTTATTCTCCTTGTTTAGACAGAAAGCTCCTACGCTGTCAACTCAGAGGACAGCGGTGCTCCCGTTTAATGCCAACATTAACAATTCATCTTAACATTAGTGCAAAACAATAGAGAAATAAACAGTCACACGTGGCACTGTTAGCGCCATTAAGGAAAAACCAGGCATCTGACTGTTTGCTTAGTTCAAGCCCTCTCTGTTCTTTACTGAAGGTGATACTCTGGCTTCTAGAAAGATCAGAAACTAAAGGAAGGAGACACTAGGCTTAGGATTTGGCTATGATGCGTAAGCCCAAATTTTAGCTAATGTTAACAATCTAGACAAAACTAGCACAGTGACGATGGTGTTTCTGCTTATATGCCTTTTTATCAGGGTTAACGTTACTTAAGAGCCTCTGCTTTTAATTAAGGAAATATATTTGCATTTTGCGGTTATGTGTTAATTCCATGAATCTTACATTTCATACCTAGAAACAAAGCATATAATTATTTTTTTGTGCTAATACTATAATTTACTTAGACAAGCAAGCCATTTGCCTTGAGGCTAGACATGTAAACAAACACATGTCTAAAGGCTTGGTCTGAGTTGGATTTTTTAATAATTTCTTCTTCTCCCTCATGCACACATACATTAATTTAAACTCCTGATTTTATTTCCTTCACCTCTTTCCCACAAATCAAACCTCAAATAACATAAAACTGCTGGCTAGAAATAGGCTTCACACAAACAAACAAAAGCTTTCAAGCCAAAAGCAACTGAGATGTTCACATCTCCCCATCCAACCGTCTCTACCTCCTCTGCCTGGTCCAACAAAACAGCCTCTCTCTGCCCAATTGCCCTGGAAAACCCTGGAATATCTCATTTTTATTTCCAGGAAAGGAAGAGGTTTTATCCCCAAATAAAAGTTCAGTAATAACAGTAGACTGGGAAAACCCAGGCAGGATCCTTCCTGCCACCCTCTGTCAAGCTCACAAAGAGAAAAATCGCACCATCCGACATGGTTGGGAGAGTTTAATCCAAAGCAGTGCTAATTAATATCCCCAGCTTTCCAGAAGCCAGTGCCACATACAGCTGCGAGGGCAACAAGGCTGTTCTCCCTTCAATTTTATGGGAAGAACATTTTCATTACAAAGCCTCCTCCCAGACCCTCCTCTCTCAGCCAGATTAGCCTCGAGAAGGAAGCGGATGATCCATATATCAGAACTCCTTCTCTCCCCATTAATTTTATTATTTATATCCCATTTTAAAAGTTTATTGGTGCAACTCCCTATGCACCTGGCCAGGGCCTTTCTGACAAGCAGCGGCCCATTCCTGAGTCCCCTTCTCAGCAGGAGTGTGTACATTCTGTCACCAGAAAGGGCCAACTTTTTGAAATTTGCCCTGGAGAAAAAGCTCCAATGGTAGTTGCCCCAGCACCCTTTCTTTCTTAAAATAAGTGTGGAAGGTTCTAAACTGGCCCTTTCGTGAAATATGTGTGGATTTTACTGCTCATTATGCGCTGTGGGTGATCCTCAGAGACTCTTAAAGCCCTGGGGGATGCCCTACATGTCCCCCATCCCCAGTCAAGCACCCTTAGCCATCTGGGCAGTGCTGGCCCATTTTTAACCCAAACCACCAGACCCCGGGTAGGCCTGCTGAGACCATGTGTCTTGCCATTTTGTTCTGAAACCCCACGTGCTCAAGGCTGTCTCTTTCCAGCCTCCTAAAGGGACCCCAAATCCAATCTAAATGTCTTGAATTTACCTGTTTGTCTTTTATACATATAAATAGCTGCATTTCCATTCCCTCTTTGTTTCTCATTTTCATTTGGTTCTAATATCTGCATGTAAATGTCGGAAAATAGCATCTGTAATTGGAGATTATGAAGTATGGCCAGCTCCTGACAGGCTGCTAAGGAAGATGGATTATCCTCATTTTTCTGTAAATTTTGTCAATTTTGGAATTCATAAGCTATCAACACTGATCAAAATGGGACTTCACAGCTGTGTCAAAAAAAAAAGAGAGGGAGAGAGAGAAAGAGCAAGAGAAAGAGAGAGAGAGTGAGAGAGCGCTCACGGGCGGGTGCATGCTGGCGTCGTGTGGGCGCAGCAGATTGGATGCCTAGCATCATCGTGGCCACCCTCCTCCTGTCACCCTCCCCTCTAAGCGGGCCCTCACTGGAACTCGGGCTGGGGCTGCCTAGCCCCCTGGCTAAATCAAATAGCTAAATCACAGGGCTGGAAGGCTGCAAATCCTGCAAGGCACCCACTCCAGCCAGGGCTTAATTTATTGCCCGGCGCTGCCTTCCTTATTTATCCTGAGGAGTGAGGCTCCCCTGCTCAGCCTCCGAGATGTTCTACTCCTTCCAGACCATCACGGCCCACTTGAGGCAATTGCGTTGGTCTCTCTCTCTCAATTTTCCCATTACTGGGAGTAAGTACTGTTGGGACTCTGTAATGGCCCGACTGCAGCCCATATCAATAACAGATGAGGTTTAATCGTCCAACACAAAAATTATTTAGGCGCAGTAAGGACATTCAATGTCATTTGCATAATGGCATTTCTATCGCACGCACCTAACCCGTCTTGCATAAACAAGGCCTTGGGACCATAAATAATAATAAATCATGACGTCTGCACGCCTCTTGCGGTAATAGGAGCCACTCTTTGTGGAAATTATTTCAGCAGGAAATGGGCACTGTAATTTTAAAGACATGTGGCGCGGTGAGGCGCGGTAAATCAGGTGCCTGCGCACATGACCCCCAGGAGCAGCCCTGGGACCTGCCCTGAGCCCAGGACCACATCCCCAGGGCGCCTGGAGGAGGAGGTCAGGTCTCCAGGGGAAAACAGGCCCTCTAGAAGTGGACACCAGGATGTGCCGCTGTCCCAGGAACAGCAGGCAGGAGAAGGCAGGGTTCTCAGCGCACCGCACCGGGGAGAATCAAATTTGGGTCTGGAGAGGGACCCAGGCCTCAGGGTCGGAAACCATCTCTGTTCAGGGGACTAGAAGCTCCACAAGAGCAGTGATTTTCATCTGCTTTGTTCTCTGCTGAATCTCCAGGTACCTAGAGCAGTGCCTGGCACCCGGCAGGTACTCGGAAAATATCCTAAAGAAATGCAATGAGAGGAGAAGATTCTGGGCCCAGGTAGAGAGTGGATAATTAGAGCCCTAAAAACAGGTTAAGTGGGACAGACAGAGGCCCAGGCACAAGGGGGAATGAAGGCAGGAACTGGCCCAGAAGCGCTGGAACTGCTGCTGGTGAGCAACAGAGTGAAAATGCCCAGTAAACGCTAAACCATATTGGAAGGCAGCTGTAGGGTAAGAGAAAGCACAGATTAGGGAACAAGGGCGTGGCCTGCACAGCGGCTAAACCAGCAGGCTCAGGAAGCAAACAGAGCTGGGTTAGAACCCCAGCACCACCCATCACAGACTGCCGGCCTCACCCCTCTATACCTCAGCTGCCTACCTGTGGAACACACCTCATAATAGTTTTTCCCTTACAGAGTTGTTCTGAGCATTAAATGAGATAATGTGTGCCAAGTGACCCGCACTTGATGGAGCTTTGCTATCTGTTCTTTTTACTACCGCTATTATTCCTCAGGAAGTGGCAGAAGTGAATCCAAATACAAGCTTTGCCTCTTACTAGCTGTGTGATTTGAGAACGTCCATCTTGAGGGGTACCCTGTGCACCCGTGCATCACCCAGTGTGTCTGGTGTGAGTCCCCTGTCCTGGCTCCAGCTCATGCCCTGGAGGCCAAGCATAACCATTTAAAATGAGGGATAGGAAAGAACAGAAAACAGACTGGAGCCACCACCTGTGAGATAGTAGGAGCCAGTCGGGTAGGCACTGGGGAGGATCTGGAGACCTCAGACTTCCCTTCTCTGCCTGGGATCCCTCCTTGGCCTGCACCCACCTCAAGGCAATGCCCCTGAGGAGGCAAACTTGGTGGACCCACAAGTCAAGGTGATTCTGGTCACGTCACAGAGAATGGGAAGAAAAGAATATGAAGCGGTGGAGGTGGGGACGGGGCTGGGACTGAGATGGAGAAATGGTTACACCTGGCCTCCAGGACATGAGACTCGTGCCAGGCTCGCTGGATGATGCAGGAGTGCACAGGGTACCTCCCAAGACAGACCCTTTCCAATCACACAGCTAGTAAGAAAAAGAGCTTGTACTTGAACTCACTTCTGCTTCCTGAAGAATAATAGCCGTAGTAAAAATAATGATAGCAGCGCTCCATCAAGTGCTAGTCACTTTGCACATGTTATCTCATTATCTTATTTAATACCCTGGCAGTGTGCCCAGGCAGCTGATGGCTGAAACATGAACTCGTGTGCCCACCTTCGTGTCCAGGAGCCTGACCCTCTCCTCGGCTCAGGGAAAGGACCCAGGCCTCCTAGGTCAGGCCCATAGCTCTAGGTAGCATCTGAGTTGAAAGGGATTTGTGGTATCCCTGTTCCCATCCCCTCAATTTTCAGATGGAAGCTGAGGGGGAAAGACTTGCTCAGGAGGACACTGTTATAAGACAGGAGGCCTCAAATCAGAGCCCAGGTCTCAGGAAAAGCAACACTTGGAGTTAGGAAGAGCAAAGAAATTGTGTTTCCCTGGCTTACACTTGCTTCACAGGCAAAATGGGAATCATAGCATCTGCCTGCCTTCATATCACAGAAGTGTTCATAGCGATCAAACAAGGCTACAGATGTGAAAGTAGTCAGGTAATTTCACAGCACCTTTTACACACAGCGTCCCCCTCCATGTGCTAGGTGGGCTTGAGGGGGACCCAGGGGTGGGACGTCTGCAAGTCCCTGCTCTGTTGTAAGAGTCATGCTCAGCTGCTGACACAGCTTTCACATTGGGCTTCATTCTGCTTCTACCAGAGGGGTGTGGTTCTCATTTTTCTTCCTTTTTGCAGATGCAGAAACTGTGGCACAGAGAGATGAAGTGAGTTTCCCACGATCATGCAATTAATAAAATTTTAACCTAGATTAGGCAGCTACAAGTGATGATGTTGGAAGCAGAGCTTTTAGCAGAGGAGTTGCTAGAGGTTGTGGAGCCCAGCTTTTTCCTGCAAGAGAGTGAGCCCAGGAGGAGCAGTGACATGAAAGGGCAGGGCTTGGTGGCCAGGCAACGGCCTTCAGCACAGCTGATGCTACCCTACACGGCTGCAAGTGCCTCCGCCTTTAACCATGGAGCGTAACACCCACTGACCCTTGTCTTCCAGCTCTC